GATTTGATTTGATTTGATTTGATTTGATTTGATTTGATTTGATTTGATTTGATTTGATTTGATTTGATTTGATTTGAGGCATCCTCGGTTTCTTGCAAAATCTCCAATTCTTTTTTTTCAGCTGCTTTATCTTGGCAGGTTGTTCCGTGTTCTTTGCCCGTTTCGTTTCATTCATCACAACCAAAGCAAATACCAAATTCCGTGCTCAGATTATTTTGGTTGTCTCCCTCAGTTTTCCAAGCATATACTCTTTCAATAACTTCACTACTATTTTTATCTATATCTTTATTTTGACCACTGCTCTGATATAGCCTAACTATTTCTTTTTGCCATTTCTCTTTTAATCTTTCCTTATAATCATTTTTTTTTAATTCTCAACAATTTGAGCAAAGAATAATATTTTTATCCAAAATGACAGAATAATACTTTTTTTCATTTATTTCCTGCTGACATTCTTGACAGATTTTTGTTCCTTGTTTATTCATTTTTGCCTCCTTGCGGTTTAATTTCGGGGATTCTTCCGCAACAAGTTATTTTGAAATATCAAAAGCCATCTTTGAAAAATGAATCAAAGTTAGTCGTGTATCAGTCATTGCCAAAATATAAGGATGCTTGTCGATAAAGATTAGGCAAAGCTTGTTCTTTAGCAAACGGTATTCCTTCATAGCTTTTTATGAATTGTTCAGTAGCAGAAAGTTCAAATTTTCTCTCTCTTAACGTTCCTATTTCTGTTTTAAAATCTGTGTAATCTGACATATCATAATTTTTAACAACAAATCACAATTAATCAAAACAAGAAGAACTTAGCCCCTTACTAATTATTCAAGCTGGCAAAATCTCATCTATTTCCGGAAAATAAATGTATCTTCCTTCATTGTGTAGTTCGGGATTTTTTAATTGTTCAGGTTTCACATTCTCCCCCAGTATTCTTTTTTTAGTAAGCAAATCGACCAGAATGCTTATTTCCCTTCCGTCGTCTAGTTGAGTAATTAATTTTTCTTTGCTTATACGACAATTAATTATTCTTGCCTCTTGCTTTTCTTTGGAGGAAGCAGGTTTTAATTTTTCTTGCTCAATTTCTCTTAACCTTGTCATAATATTAATTATTTTTTAATCCTGCTCTTTTTAATTCATTTTCTACTTTGTTCATAATATCAGATAAATTTTGTTGAACAAACTTTATTATTTTCTTGTCATCTTTAACTTTTCCTCATTTCATTTCTACTTGGCAACTAGGTAAATATACTCTTGCTTCCCCTTCTTGCCCTTTGAAGTGGATATGAAGCAAATTAAGAGGCTTGTTTTCTGGTGGAGCAAATTCATGAGGATAGAAATAAATTCAATAACCTTCCCATCTTCTCCTTTGGTCGTCAAAGACTTGTCCCATAGCCATTATTGTTTTTCCATAAGGTTCTATTGGTAAAAAACCGAAGCAAACAGGGGATAAATCAAAAGAATTTAAGGAATTATTGTCATTGCACTTCCGACAGTTTTCATTTTCCATTATATCTCCACATTTAAAACAAAACATATTAATTTTGATAATCTCACACCACTATTGCTTCGGTGCTTCCTTCAACTTCCCCACTTCTTTTTAGCAAAGGAAAATGACTGACTGAATAACTTGAATATTTTTCTTTTTGTGGTCAATAGCATTGCACACAAATTAAATAATCTTTTTCGGCTTGGTAGTTAGTCAATTGAGTTGAATTTAAATCTTTTTGGCAACTAGCACAGTTTCTCATATCAATTTTTTTACAACTCATCCTCCTCTTCTCCTTCATTCTCTTCTTCCTGCTCTTGCCGTCCTTGCTCCTGTTGTTCTTTTTCTTGCCTTTCTCTTTCGGCTTCTCTTTCTTTCTCCCGCTCTTTTTCCTTTTCCCGTTCAGTTTCTTGCTCTTGCTCGGTTTCCCTCTCATCTTCTTTTTCTTGCTCCTGTTCCTTTTCTTGTTCAACTTCTTTTTCTTTTTCGACCTCTTGCTCTTTCTCGGGTTCTAATTCTTTTTCTCTTTGGGCTTCTGATTGCCTGATTGCTTCTAGCATTTCGTCTTCGTTTTCTCTTTCTACTTCTTCTGCTGTTTCTTCTTCTACTTCGTTTTCTAATTGCTCTTGGTCAATTTCGTTTCTAGTTGGGTTAGGGTCTCTTCTTAATCTAACTTCTCTTCTTATTTCTTCCCTTATTAAAGTGATTGTTCCACTATTTCCTGTGGCTTCAAAAATCACTTTGCCTCCTTGTGATGGAATTTGGCAAGTTTGTTCTCCACTACCACGAGTTTTTAAAGTTAGAGAACCACCACTTGTGAAATTATACTCTTTTCTAAAAGAATAGTTAGGATTGTCATGAGAACCACCTCCACATAAGCACCCTAGACAATCCCGACCCCCACTGCCTCAATTTTCAGCATGAACTCGGTGTCCCACTTCAGCTCAAATATTAGCATCTTGGCTGCCGATATAATCCTGAATAGAATAATCAGCATTAGTCATATCGGCTGTCAATAAAGTTTCTCTTATTTCTTCTCTGGTTTCGGTAATTTCTTCTTCGGCTTGGCTAATATTTCAAGCATTAGAGCCAACTTGAACATGAGAAGAAGCATGAGCAAATGCCAATCTTGGGTTTTCTAATTCTTCTCCATCATCTAAAAAATATCCACTATTCATAATATTTGTTCAGAAATTATTATTATCTTCTTGGAGGCAAACATTACTTCATTTTCATAATCCCGGTTTTTGGGTTCAACTTCCCAACTCTCTTCAACTAAAAGGCAAATTTAATTGAGGAGATTTGTTATTAGCTCAATCTAGCCGATTTTTTAATAACTCACTAATTTCACACCGGTAAAAAAAGACCGGATTGGTTAATCGATTATAAAACTCTCCTAACGAATAATTAAAATCAATCGTGTTAGCATTAAACATAGCTGGCTCGACTGATTTATCGTGAAAATTCCGAAAAGTGTTTTTAAACATTCTCTCGGTTTGGGCTTCTTGTTCGGCTTTCGGGTCTTCGTTTGCTTCACTTTTGCCAGCTTGGTCGGCATTACTGCTATTTCAATTCATTCCTAAGCCAAATCCTCCTCCACTTCCTAGAATGCCACCTTCTATTTTAAAATTAAACCCTTGCATAAATCTCATCGGGTTTGTATAATCTTGAAAATTACCTTGAGTGCTAATTTCTAACTTGACAAAAATAAACTCAAATTGCCAACAGTAATAGAGAGCACCTGGAGCACAGTTAATAAACAGTCGGTAAGGTAAAATAAATTTGCCGTCCCTTTCTTTAATTCCTAAATACCGACCATTAGCTGTCATGGTTATTTTGTTAAAGAGAAAAAATTGAAAAGTGGTGTGGTCTCATAAGTGGGGTTGGTCTTTTAATCATTTAGCAAAAGTAGGATTATTAGGAAATAATTCTTCTTCATACTGTTTAAAGTCATTAAAGTAAGATTTTTGAGTATTAACCATCTCTTCTGGTCCAATCATTAAAATCAAGTTAGTTTTTAATAAGGCTTGAATGGCTCTTCTAATTGGTCCCTCGGCTCCCGTAATCGCACTAATTGCCATCAGACCTTTTAAAACCAATTGGTTTCTTTCTCAGCCTGCTCGTTCTTCGGCTTCGGTATTTTCGTCAAAAGGTTCTAAGGCAACATTGTAAGGTATTTTCAAGCCTCCTTCACTCTTCCCAGCCCAACCGATATATCTTCCTCCGGTGGGAGTAGTTGGACGAATCCGAAACAAATGGAATTGAGGCTGATAAGAGTTAAAAGCTTGCTGTTCTATTCTTTTGATTCCTAAATCTCCACAAAAATCATAGTGTAATCTATGTTCAGTATCTTTAATCAAATTCGGGGCTTGGTTAACTATTCCTACTCCTCGACTTCTAATTCATTGATAATAAGAAAGATTTAATTGGCATTTCCTAGCTCTAATTTCCACAGTTAAATTGTAGTTGTTGGTATAAGTAAAAGAAGTAATGAAATAGATTTGTTTTTTTCATAAAAGAACTAAATCATTTCTGCCTAAATCATAAGCTTGATTTGCTTCATTAGAATTTTCTTGAATATTTCGTAATTCTTCTAACTCTGTTTCAATTATTCAGTTATTATCTCATTCGGCAAATTCTTCATAGTTGGTAAATTGCAAAGCTTCTTTTAATTTTTGCTTATGCTCTGCCATTTTTTCTTGGATACTTTGACCATAAATATTGCCTTGCTCGTCTTCGTATTGTGCCTCAGGTTCAAATTCAATGTTAGGGTTATTGATTTCCTGCTGAATTTTTCTTTTGATTTTTCCTAATAATTCTTGTTTCTTTTCTTGAGCTAGCCTTTGAGAACCAAAATAATTTTGGGTAACTAACAGAATTTCATTGTTAGCATTTCAGCCTATTTTACAGTTGTATTCAGGAAATTTGGTATTTTTAACTCATTCAGTAGCTTTTTTTTATACCTTTTTCAGTGAGGAATAACCTTATACTCTTTAGTCCATCAAGGTCTTTTCTTTTCATCATGAAATTCTATTAGGGAAAATTTTTGATTCCAGTGTTCGGGATTGTTTCTGATATCTTCTCACTTTTTTATGCAATTTGCTCCTACATTCATACTTACCTCGTCACCACCACCTTCGGCTTACTAAAACCAAAATTAGGTCAATTTAAATTCAATTCTTCACTCAAAACACTCTCCTCCTGCTCATTCTCTGTCCTTACTCTCACCAACGAAATCTTCTGTCCTCCGTCATAAGCAAATATCCATCTATTAGCAGTCTCTTCTAAATTCGTAAACTCCGTAAAATTCTCAATAGCCAAATTAATCTCCTCACTACAATAACCTCTCAAAGTCTTAAACACATTCTCAATGTTAGCATTAGTTTGCCGATAACCTCACTCTTCCGTAATAATATACTTACAAAAATCTTCCGTCAACTGCTCAGCATAATGGCTAGTATCAGTATCACTCCTCAATTTTTTTTTCAAAGCATTCATCACATAACCAACCCTTTGTTGATAAGTAGCTAACTCAATATTTACCATCTCCGCTCGATTCTGAACAAAATCTGGCACTTGGTCAGCATAATTAGCCGTGCAAAGTAAAATACAATCACTTAAATCAATCCGATAACCTAAAAATTGGTCGTATCAATCCTTATTCTTCTTAATATCTAAAACATTACCCATTATATTAGCTAATCCTTCGTCTCTCACTTTTTCAAATTCATCTAATAAGACCACAGCTCCTCTATTCTTGCTCACACTAATTCCCGAACAAAGTCTTCCGGGATAAGCAGCTTTCACGGAAGGAGAAACTCCCTCTAAAATTCCCGTATCACTCCTTCCTCCTAAATCAATGTTAATTAAAGGTCTCTCCATTCCTTCCGCTACTTTTTCACTAATATAAGATTTACCTATTCCGGGTGGACCTAATAAAACATAAATAGTCTGTTCCGTCTTTTTCCCAGCTCGGATATCCTTGGCTAAATTCACCAAATACATTTTCATTTTATTCTTAAATTCCTCATAGCCAACTACTCCGTCCATTATTTCGTTAAACTTGGCAAGAGAAGGAACATTTAAGTCTTTTTTTCAAGCTTCAATTAATCCTTCGGCTAATTCTTTTTGTTTTTCTATTCCAAGGGCTGTAAGTGAGCCTGTTGGGGCTTTTTCTTTCTCTTTTCTTTTGTAGTAGCGAGTGATGCATTCGAGATAATAATTTTGCTGGGTTGGTGTAGTGCCTGTACCTTGGCAAATAAGTTTTCATTCTTCCCAAGTAATATCAGGGTGCTGTTCTTGTTTTTTCTTAGGAATAGTGGGAGTTTCTTCTTCCTCTTCTTCATAGGAAGTTGGTATTCATTTCTTTCTGCCTGATGGTAAAGTGATAAGTTTTCCCGAAGCCCCAAACATTTTAATAAATAAAAATCGGTAAGTCTTCGGGTCAAAGTCAAATTGGATATATTGGATAGTGCTTAGTAATTTGCCTAACCAAGACTTATCTCCCCAAGTAGTACTTTCACTGTCTGTTTTATCGTAAGTGTCTTTGTAAGCAATGGTGCCATCTTCGTTTTGGATTCTTCTCCCGGTGGTTTCTTCTCTTTCGATAGTTTTCAACTGTTTTTGCTGTTGTTTTAATAATTGAGCTCTCCCGTAAGTATCACTCAACATATCTTCCCCTTGGGTGTAAGGAATATTAGTTCATTCGGTAGTTTGGGGAGTGGTTTTGCTTTTTTTGTTAGTTTTGCTATGGTCAATTTTGCTTTCACTCTCGGTTTTGATTTTAAAGAGTTCTTTGTCTTTGAGTTTTAATTGTTGGAAAATATTTTGGTAGATTTCTCGGTTTCGGCTGTAATTAATGGCATCAACGGTCATTTTCCCAAAGAATTTGCCGTAAAATACCCCTTCGTAAGGTTCATAATGGCTATCTTTTCAGTAGTGGTAGTTTATGTGGGCAATATTTGCCATGATGCTTCTGATTATGAAGTCTTTATGCTGTTCGAAATAGGTGGTTCGGTAAGCAGTTCAGAAGTCTTGGAAAGTGGGATATTTGTTGGCTATGGTGGTCATCTTAGAAGAATTCCTCCTTTTTTGGTTTTATGATGTCGACTTTTCTGATACAAGCATCACAGATTTTATTTTGTTTGTTGGGGTCGATGCCTAAGCCGTTTACTTTGGCTAGGTGGAGTTGAGACTTTTTGTTTTGTTCACAGATATCACAGGTGAAGAGATAGTGTTTGGGCTTAGGTTCAGTTTGGGTTCCGATTTCTTTGGCTTCTGCGGTGTTTTTTGCTTGGTTTTTTAGTTGGGTGATATTTTCTTTGAGTTGTTTATTTTGGGCTTCTAATTCCCTGATTTTTTGGTTAGCTTCTTTTAAAGCTGTGGCTATTTCTTGGCTGAGTTGGTTTGGTTGGTTTTTTAGTTCTTCTAGGTCGAGTTTTAGAGCATCATTTTCGGCAGTTAGTTTTTGGAGATTAGTGAGGTAAGTTTGAGCAGTTTGGCTTCAATAATTGACTTGCTCTTGGAGTTGTTTGATTTGGTCTTGGACAATAGAGGGAGGTGAAATGCTTTCTTGTCCGGGTTTTTTGCTTGTCTTTTTATCCACTGGCACAATTATCGGACTAGTCGGAGGACTGGAAGGAGGGGTTGAAGTTTGACTGGGTGCTTGGGGTTTTTTCTTTAAGTCAGAAGGTTTCACTCCAGGCTTGATATTCTTTAAAAGGTCTTGCTGTAATTGGTCTTTATTCATGCTTCCTCCTTTCTAATTCCCTCACCCGGGCTTTGAGTTGGTTGATTTCTTTTTGTTCTTTGCCGTTCTTTTTTTCTAGTTGGATAGTTCGGGCATCGAGTTTTAAAGAGTAATTAAAGAACATGGCTAACATGGCTAAAAGCACTCCACAAAGGGCTAAACAAAGGTAAAATCAAGGTTGGCAGTTATTCATGCTTAACCTCCTTTTTTTCTTGGGTGAGTTGCTGTTCTAAATCGGCAATTTTATCGGGTTCACTTTGGATTTCCTGTATCTCGGTCACCTTCTCCACTTCTGCTTCTTGCCTCTCTTGCCAAGCTCCGTAAGTGAGTTTGTGTCGGTTGGGGCAGAAAGATTTGTTTTCAGCTTCTTTGAGGCTTTTTATTCTTTCTCGTCATTTTTCTCTTTCTAAGGCTACAAATTGGGCTTCGTTGAGTTCGATTTCAGGGTTGTTTTGGCGGTCTTCTTTTTTGGAGGTAAGGTGGCGAATGCCGAAGACCCGACGGAGTTCGGAGAAATCTTTGGTATAGTCTTCGTGGAGTTGTTTCCTTTCTTCTTTGCCTTGGCTGGGGCTGTATACTTCGTAGTCTTTGATTTCGTTGGTGGTGGAAGGGTCGGCAATGTAGAATAAGTAATCTTCTTGGCTAGCCGTGATTTTCTTGGCTTGGGTTTCGTCGGAAGGGTCGTTTTCACAAAATAAGAAGACTTTTTTGCGCGACTTGTTCCGGTCTCATTTGATGTCTTCTTTGATTGCTCAAAGGTCTTCGAGGTAGATTGCTTCGGCTCCTTCCAGGTTGGGTCGGTGGGTGGGATTGTTGAAAAAACAGACTACTTCGGAGGGGTCAAGGAAAGAAAGGTTGGCTTTTTCTTCTTTGGTAAGGTTTTTGGTAAGTTCTTCTTGTTCGGCTTTGGTTCTGACCAAGGCTTCTTTGCCGTCCCGGTATTGGATAGTGAGATTAATGGGTTCTTCTAAGCCATTGAGTTCGTAGGTAAGGATATCTACAGCGAGGAATTTATCCTTGGTGACTTTTACGAGAGCAGAATAGCCTTTTTTAGAGTTTTTTCTTTCTAGGTTGCCTCAGTGGAGCACCAGAGGGCAATTGGGGTTAGGGCACTCTAAATGGCTAACGCCAATTAAGCAATTGTGAAAGAACTCGAGGATATTGGCTTTTCATAAGTCTTTTTGGGTGGGTTTATTCATTATTGGATTACCTCCTTGATTAGTTGGATTTCTTGTTGGATTAGTTGTTTTTCTTGGGTAAGATGGTTTTGGTATTTTTGTTGGGTTTGGGTGAGTTGGTGGAAGAGGTCTTGCTTATCAGCTTCGAGAGCCAGAATTCTTTGTTGTTTTTGGTGGATGGTTTGTTCTTGCTGGGTGATTTTTTGCTTGTAGTTTTGGTTATCCTCTTGGAGTTTTTGGGTGAGGTCTTGGGGTGGGGTGTTTATTGTGCTAGTGGATGCCTCTTTTTTTTGTTTCTTGCTCTTTTGTTTTCTTCGGTCGACTTCGGCTTTTCATTTTAAAGCTACTTGGTGATAGGGTTCTCAACTTGGATGAGAGCCAAATTTTTGCTCTTGGTAGTCTTCTTTAAGGATAAGTTTTTCTAGGTGAGTGTCAGTAGTTACTTGGTTGGTAAAAACTCCTTCTCAATTAGGTAAGTTTTCTTTCCGAGTTGGATCAGCTGCTAATCAAGCTTGGAATTCTTCGAGGTTGTAGTTAGTCATGGTTTTCTCCTTCTAAGCTGGCTAATCTTTCTTTCTTGCTGGCTAGCAATTGTTCTAGGACTTGTTTTTGCTGGGCTAGTTGGCTGTCTTTTTGGTTGATTTGAGTGAGTTGGGTGGCAATGGTTTGAGTTTGGTTGGTATTGGTTTGGGTTAATTGGGTGATTTTGCTTTGGAGGGTGTTTTTTTCTTGGTGGAGGGTATTAATTTGGCTTTGTTTTTCGTGGTTGGTTTGTTCGGCTTGCTGGGCTTTGGTGTGTAGTTTGTTGTAATTTTGGGCAGTGTGCTGAATGGTTTGTTCTTTTTGGGCAATGATTTGGTTGAGTTCAATTTCTTTTTGTTGGCTGTGGGTGAGCTGTTGGTTGAG